AATAGTATCAAGATGTCTGGTTTCCCTATCATGTCCTGAAGTTGAGAGAGGGTACTCCTGTAATGCTTCTAAGAAATATCGACCCTAAGAATGGGTTGTGTAATGGCACAAGACTCATCATTACTAAGATGGCTAATTATGTTCTCCAGGCTCAGATAATAACAGGTAGCAAGGTTGGTGAAAAAGTACTGATTCCTAAGATATTCCTCTCTCCTTCGGAGATGAAACTTCCTTTCAGGATGAGACGCAAGAAGTTTCCTATCACATTAGCTTTTGCAATGACTATAAACAAAGGCCAAGGTCAGACACTCGAAAAGGTTGGTTGTATCTTCCAAGACCGGTTTTTACTCATGGGCAACTCTATGTCGCTGTATCGAGGGTTACATCCAGAGAAGGTTTGAAGATATTGATCACCGATAAAGACAACAAACCACAAAACAAAACATTGAATGTCGTCTACAAGGAGGTTTTTGACAAGATATGATATTTCTTTTTACTGTGTTTTGTTTTCTGATTTGTTGTCTCTATGTATCTCGAAATATGTTAGTTGTTTTTATTATATAAGACCATTACGTTCGGTTTTATAGTTTTTAATAGATTTGATGTTTTTCGATTTTTCACCAAGTTGGATCTGATGTATTAATGGTTTTATCTCTAACGTTTAACTGTAGTCGGATATTCCAATGACAATCTCAATTCGATAACATAATTTAACAAAACTTGAATTGTAGCATATTATTGGGCATCTATTGACATTTCATATGATGAACATTGTCACGTAGTTGTAAATATCGAGAATGCTTCAAAACCAAATTATCATGTCATCAAAATAAACTTAATAGTTTTTAGAAAATAAAACCAAGTACATACTGTCTTTAAAGTGGTCATTGCCAACAGAAAAAAAAAACATGAAATTTGTTTGAAACTGATATGGTTCTTGATTAAACTCCAGACCTCTTCTTTTTACGTTCCATCTCCTCTCTCTTTAAACACAGACACAAACAATCCAATTTAGATTTTTGTAAAATTATATAGCTTTAAACTAACTCAATATTATATTTAAACATGAATCGTTTCTACAACATAGAGTTCAATGGGCAATCAATAACAAAATATAATGACTCAATAACATAGATTTTAGACAACTTTTCATTATTAATCTAAATATATTTCTGATTACGTACCCATTCGGCGGTATCCATGTGTCGAATTTCTGTCTCCACAAAACCGCAACGCATGCACTTCAACCCTATCTCCAGATCTAGAATCAGGTCGTGTTTTCGTTTTGTGCAACTTGATTGGGGTGTCTCATTAGATGTGTTGCCTTTGTCATCCTCCATAAGCAGAATATACAGATTTTACAATTCATTGTGTAAGACATGATTAAAATAAACTTTAGTGAATAGGATGTATTACCTGAGGAGTGTTCTGTTTGGCTTTCTGATTTGATGCAGTGAATAAATGTAATTGTTCCTATAATTCTTCTTGCTCTATCTCGGAATCTGTTGGTGAAGGTGGTGACTTAGGTTCCACGACACCGAATCTCATTACCAATGGTAGGGGATTGATGATCAACAAGCCATTTTCATCGAATTTTTTTCGTTTGTGTTCGCCATGTTCTTATGAATGCTCTCAGAAACGATAAGGCTACTTATAAAATATTTTAAAGTTTTTTGAAAAGAAACCCTCAAGTCAGTATTTATAAGGTGTGCAATAATAATCAATTTTCACATTTATCAATTTCTTTATGGGGAAGATTATGTGACTTTATGTTTGCACCTAACTGTTTGACTTTCCAGGTTTCCTGTTTCATATAATTTTAAGGAAAATTGCTCAAGTAGATACATAAAGTTATAACATATAAGTCTACATAAATGTCATTTTTGTTATGATGTTATATGAATATATCATTTCCTAAAATATTGAAACATAGAATTGTCCAAATAACATAAGCTATAGAGAGAGATCATATTATTTT